TTAAACATGTGAACATCTGGGGAAGGGGGGAGGGCGGTGATTTCGGAAATCTTCCCCCCCCCCCCCCCCCCCCCCCCCCAAAAAAAAAAAAATGGAAAGGGAGAAAAGAGGGAAGAAATGCAAAGAGAAAATGAAGGAAAGAGTGAAAGAGAAGAAAGAGAGAGAGAGAGAGAGAGAGAGAATGTGTTGCTTATAGCTCATTATTACACAAAATGTATCTCATAAATAACCACATACATTCTGGAAAATGTTATAATTCATGCTCAAAAGTTAAAATGTTCAGGACTTCATTTTAATCTTTATGTAAATAGGAATAGCTCATAAGTGTGTTGCATAAGTCTGAAATTCTCTTTCAATCTCTTTTTAACTATATGATCCTTCACATTGCAACACTATCTCTCTCTTATTCTCTTGTCTGTCTGACTGCCTCTCTCTCTCTCTCTCTCCCTCTCTCTCCACACCCCTCCATCTCTTTATATTCGTCTTCTTTCTCTCTCTCTCTCTCTCTCTCCCCTTCTAATTGTTTTATCTGTCTGACTCTCTTCACCCCTCTATCTATTTCTATCTCTCACTTCAACCCTCTCTCCCTCTTTGTCCCCGAGTGTCTGCTATCGTCTTTTGCTTTCACTTTAATATTTACACTGGCAAAACTCACCACCTTATCTTCTGTCACTAGCTCATAGGATATCACTAGGATATTGGTGATGAATTTCATCATATTTTTGTATGTCCATTCTTTCAAAATGAGAGAAAAATGTATAAACCAAATAACTTGTGTGGTACATGTGTGCACATGGATAAGGTTTTTAATACAGCTCACGCTTGCCAGTTAAAGAAATTAGCCAAATTTGTTAGAATCATTATGTCATATTTTTCAAAAGAGTCAAGGGTAGATGGTAATACTGTAAATGATAGCTCACAAATAAGCAATGTTGTTAGGCACACTCGGTAGGAGGGTGAATTGCCCAGTTCGCCTTGATTTGTAAATACGTCTATTTGTTCATATTATCACATGTTTATTATTGTTCATATTATCATATGTTTGTTATTGTTCATATTATTATCACATGTTTATCTTTGTTCATATTATCTTATTAAGTTTATCTATTTTCATGTTATCACATGTTTATCATTGTTATACTATTGTTATATTGATACTATGTTGTAAATATGTTTGTACTCTCATACCCCGAGAGGGGGTCGATAGAGTCAATAAAATCTTACAATCTTACAATCACTACTTGAATGCTCATTTGACTCCATATATTCTTCCATTCAACTTCCCACATTCACAATGTTTCAAACTTTCACTACTTGCTAGTCTTTCTCTTCCTTACACAGCTGTTCACAATCTCAAAAATACTATATAAAATATAAAGCCCAATTGTATACAAGTTTACTGTAAATAATCTTAAACTGCCCTGAGATACAAACTAAGAAATAATGGCTATCAATGCAATTAGAATTACAATATTGACTGAGCTGCCATTTTATTCATCAAGATCATAATTGTCAAATCAAGATTTCTGCATCAGCTACAATTCCTCAAGATATACATTCTGAATAAATCTACAGCCAAATATGAATGCGGGAATACAGGGTAGCTTTGCTTACAGATCAATGTGATCAAAACAGAAGAATCACACAAATCTGTTTCAACATACCATTTGACTTTAAAAGAATTATTTTGCCAATCATGGTGACATGGCAGTTGGCATAGCAACAAAAAACCATGTATGGAAGAATTGTATACAATACTGAATTATGGAATTTACAGGCATGATTTGTAACTTAACAAAGAGAAGCTGTTGTAATAGTTGTCCGTCAAGTTTGGTGATAGGCTGGAGATGTACAAAAGGGCAAATAAAAAAAAAAGTTTACACAAGTGAAACTACATCAGCAACAAAAGCCAACATTTTTATAAAAATGCAGCACTTTAGAATTGTTTCCTGTTCATTATTAAATTGTAATACTTTCTTCCAGGATTAACAAATATGACTACTTATGTTGCTAAAACGTGTTCTTTTGGGACTTCCATTGTATGGGAAGTTCTCAAGATATGTTATGAGATGGAGAATAAACACTATACAAGCATTTCACAAACGGCCACATCACTCTTTAGTACATGGCAAAATAATATTGTTCGCAAAAGTTACTTCATCCTTCTTTCAAACTTCTAAAAAGAGGTTTGTTGACCATAAATCTCATAAGCAGACAGCATATGCTTTATCAAGGTAACACTAGATACACATCAGTGTCTAACAACTGCCTTGTGTCTCTCGCAGCATTTGTTTTAAAATCAACCATATTTCAAAGAGCCGAGTATAAAAACGGAAGCCTCAAAATTTGTTGTAAAAATTCTTTAAAAAGTTAATTGAAATGAAAGTATGTCGATTGAAAATGAAAGTGTTTATCTAATAGTACAAGAATATGAACTAAGATACTTGAAAACAAATTTGAATGTTTCAAGCATAATGATTATCGTTCTGTGTGTTAGGTTCATGGCACCAATCATAGCTAATTGTAAAGAAAGAAACAACTTTAATCATACCTATTAATTAATAAAGAGACCCCAAAACCTGCAAGTAAAAGTATGAAACCTCTGATTAGTGACTACGCAGCTCTGGTTCTTATGATTTTCTGCTTTTCTTTCCCATTCTTTTATCAGAAGAAAGTAAATATTTCACATTCCAAGCCAGGCATTACACTTCAGCAAAGCTGAGCTAGCTGTATACTTATTTTAAAAGTGTATGATACTCTCTAGTTTATACAGTAGGCTTACGGGTGCACCATGTGAGAGAGAGAGGGAGCATTTAAGTAAATTTGTCCATTACTTTAATTTACATAAAATTATTACCATTTATGCTTTTTTGATGCACAGTGCTTAAAGTAAGTGCACTGCCAAATCTTTACCACACTTGCTACATATAGTACATGCACATTTGATTTTTCCTAGAAATTCTTGAAGAAAAACAAGTCTCCAATGTATGATTGACAGTACACACAACTTGCAATGTACCTACCGTATGCCAACCAAAATTATACCTTACTAGTAGTGTCAAAGTAGTTTAGTGTATGGCATCGATCAAGAATTAAAGTGTTTGGTGTCAATTGTTTGGTGTTAATAGATGACCACTATAAAACTCAAAGCAGAGTATTCATCAGCTGTAAACACTTTCACTAGTATCTTAACACCTATACACTTAACACCATGACCACAACCTCTCCTCATGATTTTTGCCAACACAGCATAAAGGGACATGAAAAAGATTTTTTGTAAAACTACCGAGCTACATGACTGCTGTTTATATATTCAGTTTTTAAATTTCAAGTTATCATTTATGCCATTCATTTATATAAAAAAAGTATGGTGAAGTTTTGAAAATGAAGCACAGTGAGATGACATTCAGTTTATGTACAGTGTATTATCAACCCTATAATTCATTTATTTTAAAGGGAAAGTCCACCCCAAAAATAAGTTTGTTTCGATAGAGGCAGAATAATAAGACAATCAGGTCAGTGAAAGTTTGAGCAAATTCTGAATGAAAATAAGAAAGTTATGAATTATTGAAGTTGTGATCAATCAAATACAAATTGGCAACTCTGTGACTTATTATACGAGCTCTCCTTCATTTGCTTTGTGCATAATATTCCATAAAATCATGTTTTCTTCGTTATTGATGACGGAATATATATTTGTTCCTTGCAGGGGGAGTATAGAAACATATTTGCAATTATTATATTTAGGGTGCATGTATGGTTGAAATTTTTCTTGAGGGAAAATGAAAATTTTAGATTTTTTTAGTACTGAGCAAATGGAAGTTGAGCTCGCATGATACGTCATAGAGTTGCCAATTTGTGTTTGATTGATCACAACTTCAAAAATCCTAACTTCCTTATTTTTAATCGGAATTTGCTCAAACTTTCACTGACTTGTTTCTCTCATTTTTCTACTCCTATTAAAACTAACTTAATTTCAGGGTGGACTTTCCCTTTAAGCATATAACATTCTAACCATCAAATTCTTATAATAAATATCATTTTAAATACTCAGAATAATAGCTACCAACTATATACAATTTTACACATAAGTAATATGTACATTAGATTCAGAATTCACTTTACATAGGCCTATATGATACTGAGTTCTACAATACAAGAATTGTTGATTCAATCAAGTTCCAAACAAAATAATTTATATCCCAAGGAAGTGTACAGTGTTGGTAAGATCAATGTTATTTGACATTTTTCTCATTTTTTTAATATAAAATTCTTTGGGGAAAATGCCAACTCTCAGAGGCTCACTATGAAATGCCTATATTTTCAAAAAGTTATTACATGTAGGTATTTTTAAAGCTTCTTCATTCAAATATTTCAAGGGCTTTGTTTTCTATTAATATGTGAACAAGGTACGGATAAGTTTCTCTTCAAATAGAAAAACAAATTATCCCCTCCCCTAGAAAAATAAAGAAGGGAAAAATATGGATTTCCAAATAAAAACAGCGCTCTCAAGCTTGACAGGTATTTACCCCAAAAATCCTGACCTATCTTTAGTTCTTCATATTGTCCTCTGGTAGCTTTTAAAGCCAATTGAATAAAACTTCGCATCGTGTTTAATAAAAAAAAAGATGCACTAAGAAACTGATATGATTATCAAATCTTTGACTTGACCAACACTGTACTTTACCTTTCATACATCCAATACTTTGAGATGCTAAAGGGCACATAAATATATAAAACAACATTTAATTCAACAATAAATTCAGTCATTATTTGTAATAAAAACAAGGTGAGCAAAAATATACACAGCAGGATATCAGATTTGAAAGAATACCATCAATCTACATACATTAACTTAACCTAGTATAGATAATACTTCCATCATGTTCACAGATACAGAAACACTGTCATTTTCAATGGCGCATCATTTGAATGCAGTAATGGGAAGATTGATCGTGGCAATTTGAATGGGTACCTTCTATCTGGAAGATTTATTTTAAAAAATCTATTGAAAATAGCATACAATCTCACCAGTACACTCATCAGTATACATGAATGTTAAGAATTATCTTTGGCATGATTATGATATACCTAGCCTATATGAATGATTTGGCTTGAATGTGTTACTTTGGCCATAGTTTAAACATGATTTTGGTCTGCTGTATTTAAGCAGAGTTCTTTGTGATACTTACAGGTTAGTTCTTGAGGCAAATGACTGATTGGTCAAGCATGAAAAGTATATCCAGAACAAAACTTCTCAGATTACATATATACTCTGTCACATTTCATATTCTTTTCACATACTCAAACACTGCATGGTCTACAGAGAAAACATGCAAAGATACAGGGGTAAACACCAAGAAATGGAGAAGAGGATATAGGAAGGAATAATAAGAAAGACATATGGATAAAGAAATCAAACTTTTACAATTAATACTATTACAATCTACAATTTTGGTCAGAGGGAATATCTATTCTAATTAAGTACTATCATGCCAATACTATATTCTTTTATCTGTAAACACTTTAAACTGTCCCAATGACCTCATAACTTTTGACCCTTGTAAGTCTCTGCTGGCTCCTAGAACTGTGACTTGACCTATCTGAGGAAGAGGAGTTTCCATCTCGGTCACTTCCGCTCCGTCTTCTCTCTTTCATGCTTTTCACCGTTAGGTCTGAGCTACTAGACTGGTCACTGGTGCTGGATACTGGACGTCTCTTCTGCACCAGCTGGGAATCTGTTGGCTTCACTTTAGCAACGGCAGTGGTGTTGCTGTAGGCCCGTCTTGGGATTGGTCTCACCAGGACGGGGATACTGCTGCTGCTGCCAGAGTTGGACCTCACCGTAAGGCCATCAGGAGAAGTCTGCTTGGAGGGAAACCCGTTGGAGTTGAAGCCGTTGTTGACAGAAGAGCGTGGGGAGTTGAAGCCGCTGTCACCCGTGGAGCTGGAGAGGCTTTCCATTCTGTGATGGAGAGGGCGCTGTCCGTTGGCGAGTGAGGCGTAGCTGCCGTTAATGGTGCTTGCATCAGGGCTGACAGTATGACCTATGATGGCTGGAGGATCACCTTGGTTGGTGTACTCAACTGTACTGGACGAAGTGAAAGAGTCACGATCAAAGCTTCGGTTCAGCTCACCATTTCCCGATCTGTGGCAGTGGTCCAAGATCTCTGGATAGCCCTGTAAACGAGAATTACTGTTCTTATCTTTCTCAGGGACATTGCTCTTATACTTCATATTACGATTCACCTTCTCATTCTGAAGTTCCTCTTCTAATAACTTGTCAATTTCTTCATCTTTGTAGAAGGTTTCATGACTTGAGTGAGGCCTCTTCTTGATGAGATCATGTTTCCTCATGACAACCTTCTCCAGGTTGGAAGCATCTCTAGGTCTCTCTGGTTCTTGACGGAGTCGGTTGTTCCCCTCTCTGTTCTCTACTGTCTGGTTGTTCGAGTTATGGGCAGAGTGTGGTGTTGATGTCTTTACCATCATCTGCCCACTGTCCTGAAAGGTAAGACATATCTTCCGACTTGTTTGAACAAGCTGCCTCTCAGAATTTTCTGGAAGTAACCGAGGCAAATCACTTATATCCTCTTCAGATGAGCATCGCCTGGGTAGATATCCTTTGCGCTTTTCATACTCCTCTACTGCAGATCGTCCAGTGGCAAGCAAGCGAGAAGGCACTTCTTCTCTTGGTTGCTGTTCACCAAGATCAGAAGCTGAACCAGGTGCATCTGCTCTTTGGCTTGCAAATAATCTTCCTTGTCTTCTTTCTCTCAAGAGATCAGCGTGTCTCTGCTTCAACAGCCGCTTTTCTACAGCTGCAGCCTTTTTTCTTGGATTCATCTCTAGCTCTGAATCACTTCCTGCAAGAGAGCTCTCACTAGTGAGCCCTTGGTATGGCTTAGGGTTTGAAGGTCGTGCCCTATCCATAGAGCTAAAGTAGTGATTTATCTTATCACCCTTTGGATCCTTGGGTGTTTTCTGAGGGCTCTTTGAAGATGTTGGTTTCTGATCTGCTACAGCTTTAGTTCTATGTTTACCGTCATACATCTTAGTTGGCTTGACAAACTCTACCTCACTTTCAGGCATAGATTCCTCTTGTCCATCCTGATATTTCTGTTGTAGAACTTTGGCAGTTTGTGTCAGACGTCCATGATCAAGGGCATAATGGGATCCTGTTTTCACATTACTCAAGTCTTTCGGCAAACTCTTCCTCTTTGACTTAGGACTATAGGTGTGTTTCGGAGTAGTCGGTACGGCCTCAAGTGTTTTAGACCTCTCTGTATCATCTTTGATCTTGTCTCCATCTTGCCCACTGGTCTGAGATCTGTTAGAACCAAGTTTCTCAGGAGTCTTCTTCATCCAGTGGTTGTAATTAAAGAAAGGATCTTGGATGTCTGAAGGCGGGAACTGAGCTGAAAAAGTCTGGAGTATACGTTTTGGCTGGTTGTTATTGAGAGCTGCCTTCGGCTTCTTCTGGACTGCTTTCCCCAAGAGACGTCCAAGACATGAGGGCTTTGCTTCCGAGTCTGATGTCAGGTAGCCTTGGTCATAGTAAGAAATGTCATTGGGGAGACGCATGGAGCTGGTGCGTTCAAACTTTGACTTCTTCTGAGGACTTTTTCTCTCCCTCATGGATATGCTTCTCTGGAAGGCTGTCCGATCTTCTGGGATGCTGGCGAGGATAGGGTTTGCTGGATAGGACAACGGTCTGGAAGCTCCTGACTCAGGTCTAACCTTAATACCCATATTCTCATTGACTTCCTCAGGGAAAGTATGTCTAGTCAGAACACCGTCCTTGTAAATCAAGTATTCCTTAGGCTTATCTTTATCTTTCTCCTTCTCTTTTTCCTTATCCTTCTTCTTTGTCCTTGTTGTAGCAAATGTGGCAACGCTCTCTGCATCGGTGGTGTCCGGAGGCACCTCATCACCTTTGGTGATGTAGTAACCAGAACCATTGTGCACGATCTTCCCCTCGTTCATGAGATGGGTGAGGGATTTGTGGATGATTTCTGGACTAGGTACAGGCATCTTGTCGTAGCACTCCGAGAGCTTCTTTCTGATTGTGTCCTGGGTTGCTATCAGCTTCCGTCTGTTCATCTCTGAGATGAGGAGACACAGGACTTCTGTCAAGGGGATGAACTGAGCCTGCTGGACTGGCCATAGCTCCACACTTGGTACATCACCTGAGAAGATAAAACGATATTTAGATCTTGGTAAGTTATGTGGAAAAAAGGAACACCAGCACATATGATGTACATGCAAATTGTATTTTACAAAAAACAAAAACAATACATGAACAAATTGAACATTTTTCAGCATCATTATTTTACATAAGATAAGATAAAGACTGTCTCAATAGACCAACTAGATACTGCCATTAATACTGCCATTGATGAATGATACAATTGCAACATAGGGACGACAACATTGAAAAGGATGCAACTGACAGGAAAGAAGCCATCTTGACCTGGATTCTATCGTGGCAAACAATGAAATATGAACAGCGCCATCTAGTGTTCACCATAAAATAAATGTTTTACAATAACTATTGCCTGAAGAAGTAGGCTGTGGTTTCATTACTTGAGTTGGCTAACCATTTAGACAATGAGAACAATAAGTGGTATCAAATCCGTCTTAGACTGACACGATAACACACAGGAACAGTTCTCACTTGAAGCTTTAAAAAACAAATCTTTAAACCAACAACAACAAGAAAACAGCATAGTTGTATCCCAAAGCAAAAGGACAAAAGTTTTACCTTACAAAGACAGATTAGCCATCTCAAACCCATCTCCTGAATCAAAAGAATGTGACCTTGATCAACAAGAGAATGTGATCAGGAAGATTCCCATGGCCTCATTACTGAATTTTGAGAATGGTGGGATCAATTCTTTTGATTCTCCAAGGAAACCTTTCTAATCACACAATCAGATGCCATCCTGTTTATTTATATTTCATATAACTGGTAAAATCCTTGAAGAATACAACAGATTGAAAAGGGTAAGATACCTGGGCACTACTACAAACTCACAGTTCAACCTTCAAACATCATATACTGAGAGACAAAATGGTTCTAACTCTATGTAATATTTGATGTACAGTATGGGAAGATTTTCAAAATAGACAGGGTTTCACCTTAAAGAGAATGTTGAGTTCTGGGAAGAGGTGAAAAAAAATTTGTGAGCATTACTCATTCTTATTATGCAAGTGTGGAAGAACATCAGTTAAGACATGTTCCCTGAAAAGCATGGCTCTTCAAATGCCTTCATATTCTAAATATACATGTAACATCGTAAAAATCGGGGGCCGGCTTTTTACGCCACGTGTTCGTGTAGTCCCATATACATCTTTCTGTGTAAGTGTTTGTAACTTTACCAAGACTTGGCCAAATTTCTTATCATTTTGATGATTCCAGAACCTTGCAATACACACAAATTCTTATATGCTAGATGATCAACCTTTTCTGGTCGGTTCCACACCGTTTCTTTCACAATGCAATCGCATGACCAGAACTCAACTTCATCTTTAAGCATGATATTTTGAGGAAATTATTATGAACCAGGGAATTTACTGTACCTTATTGAGATATCTATGAACAAAGACAAAAAAAAGGGGAAAAATTATGGAGGAGGACAATTGTCACTTTTAAAGGATCACATTAACTTGGACTCTGATCAAACATTGAATCCTGATGTTGGGAAATGACACCTATAAGCTTCTGCCAATGACATTATCCCAAATTGGAAATAAAATGTTCGAAAACTAAAATCAAGACACTTTGTCATATTAAATTCTAAGCCTGTAAAGCAATAAATTAGGCCTAACTCATTTATGACACATTTTAGTCAAGTTCTATGTTTGGTTGTAGTAATTATTGAGAAGTGACAATCAAAAACGGGAAAATGAGAAAGAGAAAAAAGAAAAAAAAAGATGAGAAGTTTGGTAGGAAAGCCAGTCAAGTATGCTCTGATATGCAGAAGTTATGAAGCTATTCTCTATCATGACTTTAGACATCATTAATTAATAAACGGGATATCTTTTTCTTGTTCCTCCAGCCCCCCCCCCCCCCCCCCCCCCCTCAATAACATTGGCCAAGGCCTAGATAAGCTCGGTAACGAGACTATCTCCTTTAAGTTGACCCCTAGACGTCATTGATGACCTCTTCATTCTGTCCCCTGGGGTGGAAGGGTGGACAATAGACCAGGGTTGGGTGCTGGGCAATTCAATGGGCGAATACTCCAAACAAAGCTTGTGGAACAGATTTTTAGGAACCCTCCTTTTAAGCCTGATGACAAATACAACAAATTACTTTTACCATGGAGCTCTTTGCTTGAACAAAATTACTACAACCAGATGACGGTTTCATACAATCACAGCACAACAAAATAAATCCATATTGGCCCGATGAAGAGGTGCATCCTAACTGCCAAACTGTAGTAAACGATTGTGTATTAAATATAGGGCAAAAATAAACATATTAGAATCTAGACAAATTGGATTATGGGAGCAAAGTAACTTTCTCTAATGCTGCAGGTACATGTAGTGGTCATCAACTTCAAATTTCAGGGCCCTACAGGCCAACTTCTGAACAAGTTAACATTAGTGGACAGCATATTTGAATATCTGTGAAGCCCTTGGAGCTAGACAGTATTCCATATATTAAGGGCTATATTTACTTTATTGATTACCATAAAAGTGCCAAAGATTATGGCATACACGAAATGTGATTTGCCTCTGATGTATGTTTTTGTTATCCAAGTGCTTGGAAAGGGTAAAAAATATATATATTTTCTTTTCAGATTATTTCAATTGGTGTTTATATTTTTTGGTAGTTTTTATTTTCAAATCACCTTGAATGGATTTTTTTATTATAGCACCTGAAATATTAAAAAGGACTGTTAACCTCTAACTTTTAACTGATAATTGTAAATTCTTGATACTCAATAAATCACCATACTATCACTAATGGATTTATGTGAGACCTTTGTCGCTCTCATTCTTAATAATATTGTCCATGAGCAATACAATCATCTCAGGCTGCACAATAAAGAAAATATTCAGGTTCTTTCAGGTAATAGCATCATTTATCTTGATGGAGTCATTGTTGTTTCCTTGTTTCCCTGTTACCTTCCTAAAGAAAGATAAAGCACAGGCCTTGATGACAGAAAATACGCTGCAACCATTTATAGGGTTCTATAAAATTTGTAATGATGTTTTAACAATGCACAAGAAGATATAATAGCATGTTAACAACGGTAACTAGCATTTCCCCTGTGTGTGATATTATCAGAACCTAACAGAACATATATAATCTTATAATCTTATTTTTGCAGTAATTCTATCATTTACTAGAATTTTCCTTCTTACACTTTTAGTCAGATGGGTTGCTCAAAATCTAACAAGGCCTCGCTTTTGAAATCGATGGGCAAACACCATTTGTCAACAAATTTTATAAAAGAACCTCAAAAAGAAGGGAAACAGAATTTTTGATAGATGTGACATAATATCAAGCTAAATAAATGTGGTTAGCAATTCAACTTTGCCCTCTCATAATTCACTCTCTACAAAATGAATGGAACCCACCCCAATTATCCTAATCCTTAGTCCCATTAATAGGAATAGAAAGCGGTTATCTTGCTCTGGACGGTGCACTATTCTACACAAACACTGGGTGTCCAGACATAATTTGTTTACAGAAACATGGATTTATAAGCAAACCTCTGCCTTACAAAAGGAAGGATTTGGCTCTCATTCAGACCATTCTTCCCTGGAAGGAACAGAGGAAAGGAAAGAAAGGAAGAGGAAATTGTCGGTTGTGTGTGAAGTAGGTTGTACTCGAAGAAGATGCCGTCCGTATCACACCAATTTTAGGTAGGGTGTTACCCCATTGAGGACAATGAAAAGGGAAGTAAGGAGGGAGCAAATAAGATTTAGGCATACATAGAGTTTTATGGAGGAGTGAGGGGGTGTAAGAAAGAGGGGGAGAGAAAAAGATAAAAAGCAAGTACAATGACCCGAAAACGGAACAATTCAACCCAGTCTTTGGCACTCAGATTTGTAGTCTTGTGTCCCGGCTGTTTTGCATGCACGAACCCTTTGATATAATGATCCTTAACCTTTAGGGTCTGAGCCGTATGACTGTAGACTACAACCCATAGGCCCTTTAAATAATACACCTACCAAGGGTTATACTTTACTCAAGGCACATTCTATTTTGATAAAGTATCAAATAAGAGTCTGTGCTTGCAGAAAAGTCTTCTCTAAGCTTCACAATAAGAAGGAAGAGAGGGGGCGGGGGCTATTGCACTGACATAAATATTGAGAAAGCATGCTGTACGATCCATCCCCTCTATGCAACTTGTATTTTATTGCTGGTCTACGGTTACCACCCCCCCCCCCCCCCCCCCCCCCCCTTATATCTCAAAGCCCTGGATTTGAAAGTGAACACTTGTAAAAAAAAATACCTGCCCAAAAATCGAAGGGGCTTGTAAGGGTGAGCCTACTGTATTAATGAGATTGTAAATCTTCTGAGAAAGAATACCAACGATTTGTCGGCATAGCAAACAAACCCCATTCATTACATAATACCAGCTACTTTAGGCAAAAACAGAAGAGAAAAATATGACGCACAGAATGTAATGGCACATCCACTGAAGTATGTGATTCCTTTTGTGTCCCATAATTACCAAAATAAGATGTTTTTGTTGTTGTTCTCAAAATGTTACATATAGCTATCAATAATACAGATATACATATTAGTACATAGCACTACACAACACACACCACCATACATGTACAAGTACTAGTAATATTCACATCACAAGATCTTTCACTTTCCACCTCAATTGTTTCTTTTTCAGACCTTCCCTATTGCAACAATCTATAATTGAACGACGAGCATCACTTTAGAGTATACCAGTCAATTATTTCAATCACCTGCCCCTCTTTGTTCTCCTCTAAACCTTGACATGACGTCGATTATTCCGCCACCGATATGGCTACTTTTTTTGTTGGGATATGGCTACCTTTTTGTTCTGACGGCGCTTGAGCTGCCGCCACCTTAGAAAAGGTTCAAGGAGCGGAAGTAACAGGGATTGATAAGAAAATCAATAATTGTAACTGGCTGGTTTCAAAACCAGGCCTGTAATTCATGGTGTGATGGTACATGCTAAAATGCTGCTCTGCATGCGATGTGAGAACCTGTATGTTTCTGTACATGATTCCAGGTGCTTATGTTTGGATTTTATGTCAAGTAGTATCTA